CCTATGTAATACTTTCAACAGTATTTATTAAAATAAATAAATAAATAAACTCAACCAGAGAACATCCATTTCAATCCTCACTCACTATTCCTTTCCCCAAAAAGCAGCTTGAGAGACAGGCGCGCAGTGTGCTGTGCGTGTCCTCACGTCAGGCTCAGGCGGGGGTTGGTCCTGGCTGTGAAATTACCTCAGGGTCCCTTCTCCATTTGGGGCCTGTACCGGCCTGAGTCCCACAGGACCCATGTGCCTCTTCCTGCTCCTGGAACACCTCTCCTCTGCAGCCCAAAGCGGGCGGCCCTCAGGACGGTGGTCCCATGGCCAGCCCTCTGTCCTCTAACACCAGATACCACCACAGGCCCATTCCCAACTGGCACAGAAAGACTATTCCTGACTCTGGAAGCAGCTCACCCAGCGCAAGGGGAGAAACTGAGGCACAGCTGGCAAATGGGTGGGAAGCATTATCCCTGTACCCATGCCAGGAGGCTGAGAGCCCCTAATGATGGGAGAATGGGCACTGACCATCCTCCCCTGCTCTCTCCTGGGGTCCCAGCTCACTCAGGAGTGGGAGGAGGGGGAGACCATCTTCTGTCTTCTCTTTGTGGCTCAAAGGTTTGGATCCACATTCTCCTGGTCTGAGGCTGCTGCATCATCATTTGGGGACTCCTAGATTGAAGCCAGGGAACCTGAGTCACGAGCTTCTGCTGTCCTCCAGGGCCACAGCCTGGGGGCCGGCATCTCCTTCCTCTTGCCCCGTCCACAATGGAGCCAGAGAAGGCCCTGCCACCCCTACCCAGGGTCCCTTGGCCCACCACTGGGTGACTCCCTCTTACCAGGCCGAGGCCACTGCCCCGCCGCAGGGTGGCATAGAAGCGTAGCACACGGGGGTCACAGCGAACCACTGTGGGGTCAAAGTCCAGCACACGCAGGCCCTGCAGGCTTCGGGCCCGGGAAAGGGCCACGTAGGCCTGGCCACTGGCAAACACGCGGCCCAAGGAGATCTCCACGCAATCCAGGGACATGCCCTGGGGATGGAGAGACAGAGATGGAGCCGGTTCTGCCTGAAGTCCTTTGTGCCCAAGAGCCTGACCCACCTCACCAGCCCAGCTATTGCCCCTGGATCTCCTAGCCCAGTGGTTGGCAAACTGCGGCTTGCGAGCCACACGCGGCTCTTTGGCCCCTTGAGTGTGGCTCTACCACAAAATACCAACTTCTGCGCATGGGCCACAAAGTTTCAATCGCACTGTACATGCGCGCCTGCACGTGGTATTTTGTGGAAGAGCCGCGGTTTGCCAACCACGGTGGACCTAGCCCAATCCCGAGATTCTCAAGGCAGAGGGATAGGCTGACCCTGGAGGGGGATCTGAGCAGGAGGGGCTCCAGGAGACACATCCAGGATAAGCGAGAGGGGCAGGGGTGGAAGGAAAGATCTCGGGCCTGGGTCAGACCGGCACGGAAAGGAATCCGGCTCTGCCTCTCACTGGTTGTGTGGCCTTGGACATGTCACTTAACCGCTCTGAGCCTCCGTTTCCTCCTCTGTAGAACAGGAATGATGATTACGTCTGCACTTCATACAGGTGTTGTAAGTATTAAAGTTAACATGTCTGGTAGTGGCTCAGAAAGTGCAGGGCAGGAGATGACGGGGGCGAGTATATGGATCCCAGAAAGGGAGAGCATGGATGGGAAATGCACTCAAGAAAGGTTTATCCTACAACTGGTCTGGAACTTTGCCTCCAGGGCAAGCTCAACTCCCATAAAGCCTTTAAGGCCTCCCTCAAATTGCCCCTCGCCTATTTTGTCCCCCCTCTGCCCTGCCCTGCCCCACCCCCCGCCCTGGCTGCTCACCTGGCTCTTGTGGATGGACATGGCCCAGGCCAGCTGGAGGGGCAGCTGCTGCCGGCTGAGGAGCCGGCCCCCAGTGGTCTGCACCGTCCAGCGTTCAGCACGGATGACCTCGGTGACTCCACATAGAAACCGTACCTGGGGCAGCCCTGAGGGAGGCATGGAGAAGTCCCGCTTTGCAGCCCTGTTTCAGGGCTCAGAGGTGAGAAGCAGGCCTCACCTTTGCATCCTAGACTCTCTCTCTTCGCACTTACCCTGGGCCCTGTTGCCCCAAGCAGTAGGTCTGCACCCCCATCACTCACCTCTCCCCTCAGTCTCGAAGCCGACTACAACCCCTCGGGCACCATTCACCAGGCCCTGGGACACCGCTAAGTTCTTCACCAACATCACCTGCAGGGGAAAGAAGGCATGGAGAGCTGCCCCATTCCTGTGCCTGGCCTCGGGCCCAGGGGCCACTGCTGTGGTTTGGGGAGGCTGGGGGCTGTCATGGAGGGGCACTGAGTCCTACTTTTAGCTTAGCCACCAGCTGACTGTGTCCCCCTGCAGCAAGGTGCTTTATTTTCCCGGTCTCGGTTTCCCCTTGTGTCAAGGGGACGGACATTGCTCGGGAGCAGGTAAACAGCAATAGGGTCACAGCATCATAGGGCTTTGAAAACTTCCATGTCTGTTGGGGGTATATGTGGGCCACAACCTCGAGGGCTAGCCCCCAGCTGGCATCCCTCTTCCAACCACATGGTGCCTGCACTTTCCCCTTGGGTGCCCTCTGGAACCTGAGAAAAGGCTCCCATGTGGCCCACCCCCGACATAGTGGAAGGAAGGAGGACTCTCATAGTAGAGGGTACGCTACGGAAGGCACCTGTGTGGGAGAGATATTTCACTCCCTGAGTGAGAGATGAAACAAAGCTTCAGCAAGGACAAGGGGCTTATCCAAAGCAACGCTGCCCGGAGCTCCAGATGTTGACACAGGAAGGCAGTGGAAAGCTAAAGACAGGAAGGTGGGTGGGAACAGGAGGAAGGGAGTTTGCTGTGGTCACAGCTGGGCCCTCTAGCTGTGGAGCAGCCTGGGCAGAGGGGCAAAGGTTGGGGAGGCCCAAGCTCCCAGGGTCTGGGCCCTGCTTTCCACGCACCTGGGCCCCCAGCTTTAGCTGAAGGAGCTTGCTCACGGGGCACTGGGCATCCAGAGTCCGGGCTTGCTCAGGGTCACTGTCCATGGCCTCAAAGCTGTGTACCTCACCTGTGGAAAGAGTGGGGCAAACAGATTACTAGTTACTTGTGGCTTCGTTTCCAAAAGCACATATCAGACCAGGTAACAGGGATAGCTCAGGCCTATCTGGAGCTTTAGAATCAGAGACCTGAATTTAAGACTCACTTCCAGCATCTTCTGGCTGAGTGACCTTGACCCTTTCAAGGTCACACCTCTCAAAACCAGTTACCTCTGTAAATATAAGGGCCTTATGGCCACAGAGGTTGGGGCCTGGGTATTTATCCTAAGGCCCCAGGCTGCCAGGAATGGGGGGTGGGGGCTGACATACCTGCCTGATAGCCTCCCCAGCTGGTACTACCCAGCCCTGGCTCCCTGCTCACCTGGCAGGTCCCGCAGCCGCTTCTCATTGG